CTCTTGCATTCTTCTACTTTTGACTTTGTGGGTGAATATTATAAACTAATTCTATAAATGTATCCTGTACTAAATCCATTACCTTTAAAACTCTGACTACTGTAACAGATGGTGTTATCTAAAAATTTCTCCTAATTTTTCTCATGGGCTATTCTACTTCTTACAGATGAGCAGTGGCCACTTCCATTAACCCACTAAGGTGCTTAATATATCCCTCTTCCCTTCACCCAGAAACAGGAATTGTGGCTGGAATCAAGGACACATGAAAGCATCAGAGATCCTCCTGGCTCTCTGTGTTGAGACGTAAACTTTTAAGTGAAGGAACAAAGAGGTCAGTGGGGCTGTTTACTTCCCAGTACTGTTTGGTTGTTTGTAGAATGCTGAGGTATTATGGGACCAGAATAAACTGCACTGTAAGGGAGGTAAACAGGACAGACCCGTTTTGCTCTTTATATATCTAGGTGAAATGGCTCTCATCCCAGGGCTGAGCCTCCTTGCCTCTTCTTTAATCTGTCTGATAAAGTCCCAAGAGCAAGAAGATAACTAGGATGAAAGGCCATGGAGCCTAGTAGGAAGCTCTTTGGCATCACTCTCCTTTGCCCACTGCATCTTTGCCAGCTGAATTTAGCAAACAAAGCAATCAAAAGATGGATTGCTTGCTAGCACAGTTTAGCTAACCAGGACTTCTTTGCATTCTTTCTTTGTCTCTACACTTAAACTGCATTTTTCCTGAGAACTAACCTAGAAGTTGGCAGGCATAGTGAACTTTCTAAATTTTGCTTGTAGGTTTGTCAGAAGTTTTGTTTCTTGATGAAGACAGGATTAGTCACTGCCATCATTCTGATGCCGATTTGGAACAACCCTGGCCATGACTAATCTAGTTTGGCAGACTCCTAGCTTTTTCTGTAGTTTTTAAGATTGGCCAAGGATTTCTAACTAGGCTAAGTGCTGTACAGTTGTGGTTGCAGTGGTAGGACGCCACTCCACCAGTGTAGAATTCCTGCATTCCAGCTCAGGTAAAGATGAATGGGACTCAGGGCCTGGAGGAGGATTCCATTGTCAGAATGTAAGTCACCATGACCCAGAATGCTGACTGGTCATTGCGTGGATGTAATTCCTTGTAGTACACCCTCAACAACCGTGTTTGCCTCCAAAGGAGAGATTTGGTCAGATATTACTTAATTTAGGTGGGATCTGAGGAGGAGGACGTGCTATACAACTTATGTTCTATGTATCTTTATGCCAGTGATTGGACTCACGTTAGCCTTAGCTTTCCATCTTTACCATGAAGGTAAATAATACCTCATGGGGTATGGTGAAAATTTAAAGAGAAAATACAGAAATGGGATTTTTGTGCAATATTTCCATAGAGGAAAAATTGTGAAATTAGTTAGTGGCTGATATTAGCAACATTAAAGTGCCTGTTTGAAGCAGATTTTAGCTACATGGGAATATATAGAGAAGGGATGGAGGATCTACTTCCGGTAGGCTTAGCTCTACACCAGGTCCTCAGCTGTGTGTTGTTGCACAGAGATGAAGTGTATTCCAAATATAAGGGGAAAGCTTGAATTAAAAAATACAGTCAAAGACATTATCAGGGCTTCTCTTCCAAATACCTGCTTTCCTTGAACATATCTTCCCTTCACTATTACCACTTTCTGAAGCAGTTCCAGAAGTCCTCTTTCATTAAGTGTCTTCACAAAGTATGAAAATGCAATGAATGATGCTGCCAAGATTCATCCTACAGAAAGACAGGCTCATAAAGAAAATCATAGTGTGCCCTCATCTTAGTCAGTCTCACTCTATGTAACCTCTGTCTCTTCGCCAAATCAATAATGACCATGAAACATAAACATTTTGAAATAATTCAGGAAAGACACTCATAAAAGAGGACTTCCAAAGTTGCCCTAGAAAGTGGCAAGAAGGATAGAATGAATGTGTTCAATGTAACAAAAAATATTTTGAGGGGGATTAATGCCAATGTGTCTTTTACTGTAATAAATTTTAAAACTTTAGACATTCACCATAGGTTTTATTCACACTTCCTGTGTATTTCTAGTGAAATCCTGCAAAACTTTGTGCTACAGTGGAGACCAGGAAGAAAGATTCTATTGAAGGTGAAAACAGACTGTGAGCAAAATGGGGATGTAGCTTTGCTCTTGAATGCCCCACAGTGGACCAGGCCTTTAAGGCATGGAACACAGGATAGCACTATTGAGAGATGTTGGCACCTTTGAAAGGTAAATCCTGGTGCGAGTCCTGGGTTACTGGAAGCAGGACCCCAAAGAGGACTGTGGGTCTTCAGCCCTTATTATTCTCCTTTGTGTCTCTGCTATGAGTGAGTGACTTTGCTCTGCCAAGAGTTCCTGTATGATGTGACCACAGGCCCATGACAATGGGCCAACTGACCACGGGAGGGAACCTCTAGAGCAAGCCTTTTCTCTTTCTATGTTGATTATTTCACTTACTTTTTTTATGGTGATGGAAAATGACTAATACAGAGAATAAACAAAAGCATCAGCTCCGCCCCCCATGCTCTTTGGCTGTGACATTTCCCCTCCTATCACCTTAGCAGGCCATTCAGCATGGAGCCCAACACCCCAGCCAGGCTGTAGACCTTAGTGATGCTTTGTACAGTCAGAAATTACCTGTCCTGTCTCACCTGGAGACTGCCTACCTCTTACTAGTCCTTCTATACTTATGGGTGTTAATATTTTGATCACTTATATCTCTTACATAACAACTTTATAGTTTTCAAAAGTGTTTCTAGGAACTTTGCTTAAAGGAAAAGCGTTTTAGTGAAAATTCTCCTAACCAAGAGGATGATGTTCGAGCACATATCATGGGGCATGGCTTGATCTAACCTTGAAATTACACTGTGCAGATACTAATGTGGAGGACTAGTCTCCCAGATTAGTAGATATAAAGGTGCTTATTATTTGGCACTCCAAAACAGATTTTACCTACTGTGCCATAAATCAATAAGGTGCAATATTATTTTATAGAAATTTTAAAAATATTGTTTTTAATTTGAAAATGTTGAACACGGTCCTCCACCACTTCCTCCCTGACCCCTTCCCCTGTTCTGCTTCCCAGCTACTGTGCATGTACTGTTCTTGTTCCACTAGGTCCTTCACCCAGGATCTTTCTGTCTTGGATCCAGTGACAATGGACTGTATCTTCTGAAACCAAAATTAAGTTTCTCTTTATTTAAGATGGAGGTGTCAGGTGAGAAGACCAATCCAGGGTAGAAACACACACTGACAGGAAATAACTTTGATTCATTATTTATTTAAAGCATCTTCTACCACAAAAGAAAATGATGTCCTTGCTAATGCTTATTTTAGGCTAAAATTTTAATATGAAAGTTTTAAATTGGTAGATTCTGAATTAATTATGACCAGATCACTGCTCACATTTTTGACATGAGTTTTTTCAGTCCATGAAATGAAACTGAGAGATAATTCTAACATTTCACTTTACAGTCAGAAATGGTAGCAGCACACCTATAATCCTAGCACTTAGGAGGCTGAGGTAAGAGGATTGCTGTGAGTTTGAGACCAGGATGAACTACACAGTGAGATTCTGTCTCAAAAAACAAAGTAAAACAAAACAAAAATTTCACCTTAAGCACAACTTTGTAGGTTCCACACATAGTACTTTGGCCATGCTTCCATGAAACATCCTGGCGCAAATAAGTGGTTGAACAAATAAACAAATGGGAGAGAGCAGAAGAATGTTTGAAAAATTTCCAAATAATCTAATCCAAAGAAATAGCTTTGAATTAGGCAGATAATTTATTATTCAGTGGTACCTTGGTTCATGAATTTAATTCATTCCACTGTTCTTACTATTCTGAGGAAGACAGATTCATTTCTGTGTCCAAGGGGAAGATGGCCGCAGTTGTGGTTGTGCTTGTCCCCTCATGTGAAGTTTGTGAACAGAACCTGAGCCATTGAATCTATGGTACTGAGTTATGGCAGGGTGAGTTGGTAGAGAAGTTCCCCTTATTAAGCTAGTTGACTTTAGTCCTGGGTTCTAGGATAGCCCAATCAGTTACTTTGAGACTTGGACAAATATCTTGATTACAGAAGTCCTCAATTTCTTTTCATTGTAGTAGGAATAGTGACACTGCCTGCCAATCTCAGCAGCGATTTTATTTGTTAACATACATGCACATTCATTAACTTGAACTAATTGCACAAATTAATACAATTTGGAGTGATTCTTCCACAGCCTGCACTAGTCCAGTCTGGTTTCTTTATCTTCTCCTCCCTGGCCTCTAGTAATCACTCTTCTATACTTATGGTTGGTTTTTTAAAATTCCATATATAAAAGAAAATATGAAGTGTTAATTTTTCTGTGTCTGGCTTATTTTACTTAACAGAATGCTCTCAAGTCTTCTATCAATTCTACTATGAATGATAGGATTTTCTTCTTCTTTGTGGCAGGATAGTGCTCCATTATGCATATGTACAATATTTTCTTTATTCATTCACCCTTTTTTTTATGTGCACCAATGTTTATAATAGCACAACTCTTAATAGCTAAATCCTAGAAGCAACTCGAGTGCCCATTAAAAGAAAAGATTAAAAATGTGGTATTTTTCTGCAATGGAGTATTATTCAGCCATAAAGGATAAACTTGATACTTTTACACCTTGAGACCACACTCACTGGTGAATTATATCAGACTCGTGTAAACCTCGTGTTTCTCCCCGGTGTGACAAAATGAACACCTAGGTAGGGCGTAAATGTACAACAGATATGGTAAAATGAGAAGGAATTGTTAAAAAAAGAACTAGGATGTAGGAATAGAGAAAGGAGGGGAAAAGAAAAATGCAAATTAGTTATATTAGTGTCTCACAGTTCACAGAAAAGTGTGCGCTTTTTGACTGTAGAATTTGGTAGAACTGACTACAGAATTTAGTATTCCTGTATCCTTATAGGAGTAACTACTTGAAATATGCAATGCATTAAATGTTGTTCTCTTTATCATCGTATCTTTTTTTTTAACCTTTTTTCCATTAAAAAAATCAAAAAGGCTCCATCTCAGAACAAGACACTAGGATGTAATTACCCCATGGTCCATACACACTAGTTCCCAAGTCTGCTTACTTTCAGAGCTATCCTCTACTTTGGAAAGCTCATCTTCTTGTACTGGCACACTGATGTCCTGAAAATCTTCTCTTCTCTCTGTTAAACTTTCACATTCTAAGCAACGAGTCCTTAATACCCGTTGACCTTGAAATAATTTTTCCACTAGTTCAAAGCCAACTTGTTCTGCACCTTTGTTTATGGACCTAACTTCACTAACACCTCTAGGTGTGGTATTTTCTGGAGATCCAAGTCTACCACCTTTAGCTGCACTTCTGCCTTCATCCTTCCCCATGTCCCCTTCAAAATCGTACTCATTTCCTTTAGCTTGTCCTTTGGAGCCTTGGTTTGTTGTTAGTTTTCCCAGACTACAGAACTTAGAAAGGATACTGGGTTGCTTCGTTGCAGACTTTAACCAATTTATTTTGACTCTTGATTTCTTTTGAGAGGCTCTCACGATCTCATTTTCAGAAACACACTTGGGGGTTACTTTAAGAGGACTCTCCAGAGTATCCCCAGAAGCTTTTCTTTTTGATCTGGTTTGTCTCTGGTTCTCATCCAATGACAGGTGTTCCTTGGAGACTTTGACTTTTTTCTTCATGTTACCAAATTCAGTATCATTTTTCCTTTTCCCATTCCCTTTTGGAGGTTTTTCTTTATAGTCCTCAGAATACCTCAGACTGTCCATGTTCATGATGTTAATTCCACTCACTTCCTCTTTCTGCCGAGGTCTTTCTCCTACCTTTGTAGGTAACTCCGCCACATTTTTTACTTCTTTTTTTAGGAGTTGGCATGTTTCTTGGATGTTTCCCAAAATACACTGTAATACTTCCTGTGCATCACGCTGTAGATATCCTTCATACATGCGGTTAAGTTCCCTGAGTGTGTTAAGCAGTCGTCTTGGCGGAGTTGCAAGCTCGTCAGTGTATTTCTCCGGATTTAAGAGGAAACTAGCCTGAAGCTGTTCGACTGAAATGATTAAGGACTGTAAACTGCATATAAGTTCATAACTTGCCAAAGAATCTTCTCTGCAGTTTCCCTTCTCTTTTAAATTTGCTTCATCCTTTAGCGTCTCTTTCTTCGTAGAGATAATATTAAATAAGTGCTTCACTCCAGATTTAAAACCAGGACAAAAATATAATACCTGAAGTATACTATTAAGATAACAAGTATTGCCAAGATTATTCAGTCCTACAAAAGGCAACAAGTTTTCTTTCTTCTCACAGTTTACAGGCGACGACTGTGCTGCAGGAACAACTTGGTCAATTTCTGATCCTCTATATTCAGAAGCTTTTTCTTCATTTTCTTGAGAGTCTGTAAAATCTAAGGCTCTCTTAGTTTCCTTTTTCTGAAAAAACTTCAAGGAAAGTCTGTTTTTCTTGGATGGACTACCTCTTGAAAGCCCATTACTTTCACTAGATATGACACCAGGCATTTTCTTTCCAAATCCCAAGGAGCTGACAATAATTTATAGAGGGCAATTGTAATCAGCAATTTTATCCGGTCATGGTCTGGCTCGCTGCGCGCAGGCAGCTGCCGAGCCTGTCACCGCCCAGCTGGCACTCATATCCGGGGCGGCGCGGTCCCTGTCCGCGCCGGTCGCTACCGCCGCCGCCGAGGGAACTTGGCGCGTTTTCCTCCGCGACGAACCCGCGCCTCCGCCCGCCTGCCCGCCGGCCTCCCCACAGGCGACCCTGAACACGCTGGCGCCGTGCTCACGCCGTGCGGCGCGTCAGGCCAGGATCGCCTCGCCCCGTTGCGCCCCTCTCGCAGGGCTTGGGCCGTGGGCAGTAGGAAGAATTTATTGAGAAAAGAACTTCTGTCTGTCAGGGACAGAAGGGGCCCCAGAAAGTGGGTTGCCCTCCAACTCCACTTCTCAAGAATGTTTTATTGATTAAAGTTACAATATGAGGCGGTCTTAAGGTAGGACAGAGCTATCATTGATCAATAGGATTATAAGTATAGTGCTTAGGTAGTACTAATGCAATCATGAATCATAGGATGAGTGTGAGGTGGGACAAAACTATAGTCAACCAGTACATACACAAGTATAGGTGCTAGGTTGATATTGATTAAATGGGAATCAAATGGAGAAATGTGTCATGGAGCAAGCTTGGGCAGAGGAGAACTTCCCTAAAGCAGTGGGTTAAGAAGGTTGGGTGCTCTACCCAGGGTGATTGATGCCTACTTAAAATATCATCACTGCTGTTCATGCCTAGAGGAAGTATATGGGTGAGTACCTCTTTTTCTTTAATCCTGGCCTTCAGTGAATAGTCCTTCAGCCACAGTTGTCTTCTACATTGGCCTCTCGAGGGCCCAGCCCTGTCTGACTA